AATGCTGCCTTAGGTGGTGAGGATGCAGAAATCTCAGACCTGGCAGACGATACCTCAGTGGCAGTTGAAACAGGCCAACTGTCTGTTCCAAGCCAGATCAACCAACTGGCTACTGTCCTTTACAGCGTTCTGATTGCGGATCGTGAATTCAATGCTCCGATTCTTGAGAAGATTGAAACTTCCCCAGCTGATCCAAATGCCAATCCTATTCAGGTATGGTCAGCAGCAGATTTATCCCATCTCTCAAGCCATCTTGCCATCACGGCAAGCACTCTGGCCCAACATGTTCAAGCATATAGCCTCGAGGATATCTCTGACATTTCGGACTAGATCTTGGCCATTTTCGCCTTTGGCTTCTGAATCCTGGACATGCTTCCATTTTCTATAATTCATTTGGTCTCTGGCATTTTGATTTCTAGATCCGAGACCAGTTGACCGTATCAGAGCTTTGTTTCACGAGATTGGTGCATCTTCCAAAAAAGCCCTGCGGCAGCAGGGCGTGTGTGTGAACCATCTGAACAGATGTAAAACTTCTAATTTTCCAGTTTCCAGTTTTCAAAGGCAGGGGCGTCAGGCCCATCATACCTACCTGACGCAACGAAGCTATGGTATGATGGGGGAAGGGTGAACTGATCATTCACCTGTACCTGCAGATCTTGGCATGGATGTCGTGGACATAGCTTGCAAGATTATCTTGACAATCTCATTTATTTTCGAGATGGCATCCGGCCAAGCCCAGAACCGGCACGTCGTTTTTTCAAACAATTTTCAAGCCAAACTTGATGTCAGGGAGGTAATGACTTGGCTCAGATGGAAATGTTGCATCTAGCAGTGGCCTTGAAATACATTCTTCTCGATCCTTCTCGGATCTGATCTTCAACCTTTTCCTGTCAGGTATATTTGGAGTGTTTTTGCACGTAGGATGCATTCCACATCAGAATTCGCAAAGATTGTTCTGAGCAGGTGTGTGTGTGTGCGCGTGCGTCATGCTCCCAGCACCCTAAAAGTTGGCTCGACACTTGCAGTACAAAACAAGCCGGGGCAACATCCCAGTCGCATTCCACAACGTGTCTGGAAGAAAATCCCTTTTTCTATTGAGTAAGAACATTTAATATGGCCAAGGGCAAGTCCGGGAATGAAATCAAACCGACTGGCCAATCGGCATGTTGTATCCATCCCAGGCATCAACCATTGATTGTCTGTGGTCCCAGCTGTCGAACTTTTGCAAAAATAATCGTGTGCATCAACTTGAATGGTTACATTAGAGTGGCTGGAACACAGCCAAACATGTCTAACAACAGCTGTGCAGAGTGAACAATGCTGAAACATGTACCCTTTCAATTCAATGATCGCAAAGGACATGGCAACATGGCTGCTAAATTGCATTGTTACCTGCTCAAGCTACAGTCTGCATACAAAAATTATGCCATTGATCCCGTGTCAACGTGTCGCAATTATCATGGCAATCTTGGCCCCACCTTCAAGTCGGCACTTGCATACTTGTCGATACTCACGGCTTCGTAATCGGTCGTCAAGATTCCTTGGGCACCAAAATTGCATGCCTCCGTGTGGGTCAAATTGGCATCACCATCACAAAAAAGGAATCTTCAATGCATGGCAAAGTCTCGTTCAGATAATGTCAGCAACAGCATTGTGTATGTCAAATTATAGCATTGGAACAGCGCTCTGATGAGTGACCAGAGACCCCAAGAGTCTTCAAGCAATCACAGTTGCTTGTCCCAACACACTTGCACCCATGCGATAATGAGCCCTGGTACATTGTACCAGTGCAAATTGCTTCACTTTAGATGACCGCTACAAGAGTCCCCAACCTTAAAGAGGCCTAGATTAGACTCAAACACTGCGAAGCTGGAACTGTCGTACTATCAGTTAAATATCGAAGGGATCCACAACATGCAAAGACACCATGCTGGAATGTCAGTGATATGCATATTAAGCTGAATAGCCCTGTGCTTCCAAAATATGGGTGCTTGATGGTGCTTGTGCATGTTTTTGCCACAAAAAGAGACGATGCTTAACAGCAATAGCAAGGCGGACCGCATCTGAAAAAATGGTCAGCTGATGACTGCAACTGGTCCAGCCGAGTCATGCCGAGTCTCCTGCGCGATGGGCTGAAGAATCAAAGTCCGGGTAAATCATTTTATGCGCGTCCAGCCTGCACCGTGATGCAGCATGCACCACACAAAAAATGAGGGAATCATCAGTGTAATTCAATGTACCTTGATATTCCAATTTTTACATGACTTTCTATGAAACTTTATCATCTTTGTCTCTTTTCATATTTTTGCTTTTGACCTTCCACTTGTGCAAGACCTGACACTTGTGCAATACGTGTAGCCGGTTTTATTGAAGCCAAGGCGCGACAGAAAGGTGGGGTCAGGCTCCCACCAATAGAAGGATGACTTGACCTGGACACACCAGAGCAGATCAGGATAGTGGAGGTGACGTGATGTGACAAACATCTGCTAATATTCAGGGTCCAAAAATTAGAGTTCCTGTGCATTGTACACAAATGAAAGATGATGAAAGAGGTTGACGATGGTGCCTCAAGTAGGCCCAGGAGTTTCGGATGGCTGTGGGATTTCTTGTCCCCTCATTAGCCATTTTGGGGGGGGCGCGCTGGTCATAACATTCGCTTGAACTTGTTTCACCGCAAGCCTCAGGAACCATATGAAACCATTTTTCAGCATGTTTCAGCACTTCTCAACACAAGAACAGTTGTAAGAAAATTGTAACGTGTGCAGTTGCAGAAGTCTTCAAAAGGCAGCGAAGGTCGTCCTTCGTCTGACTTCGAAGTTGTGTGATAGAAATGGTTCACCGGAGCGGTGGCTAGGCACGCACCGGCTTGACTCTACCCTTGTGATCCCTGCAGTTCCGCGTAACATGTCTACTCACTACCTGGTTGTACCTAGTTATTTCAATTCTGATCCGTTTCCATTCGCTTTCGTGCTGAGTACTGCGTCACTGCTTTGGGTGTCCCCTGCGACGCCGGGCTTACAATTTTCATGGTGAGGAGGTCCTGGCAATCCACAAATATGATCAAACAATATCAACACTTTTTTTCCTTGCTCTGCAGCTACCACCCTTTCCAATCTCCATCTCTCCATATTTCATCATCTCTCCGTCTCGCCTGGGTGGGTAATGCTATATAATCACTCCAAAGCTTGGCCACCACCATCACCTTAGAGTTTCCACCAGTGATGGAAATGCTGGTAGTCGCCACAGGCCCTGGGGAACAACGGGAACAACCGAAACAGTGAATCAATATTGATCAGCCGGTAGATGAGGCCAGCAACTCAGCCGTCGATTGGCCGGGGAAAAAAAACGTGCCCACCCGTCAACAGTGGTGGTCGTCACACGTCATCATGAGTGGGCACCATCGACGATGGAAGGTCTCTTGCGAACCAGTCAACTCACCTACCAATCACCAATCCTCACAAGCCTACCTGTGAACCAACCAATATTAACCAAAAACAAACAACAAAGCAAAATCGACAATACTCACTGGTACCGAAGAAAAGCCAGCAAAACCAATATAGCCCATTCGCTCTGCGTGTCGGCAGTGGATCCCAAAATGAGTCCTATTGGATAGTCCGGGTTGATCCGAGTCACCACTGGCATGTTGAACACTGCAGCCCTTTGCATGAAATGCTCATAGGCGTAGCCGGGACCTGTCTGACACATTTCATCACCCTGGAACTAGATAAAACTGGACCGATTCAGCACAACGGTCGAACAAGTTGCATGTAGAGTATGAGTTGAGACTTGGGAGTCAGATTGGACTCTGGAGTTTTGCAATCTGATAATCTTTCAATCTTGATTAACCCTGGGAGGAGAGAATCCCAGAAAACACGCCGATGTGAAACTCAAATGGAAAGGTCTTCCGGGTTATACATCTCCATCCGGAGGGAGTTCCTAATAGTTTCTCTAAAAAGAACAGTTGCTGACCCATCACTGCCTGCTGTAATGACTGGATAGCAAGTCATAGGGTTGGCCCGGCAGACAGGGGCAAACCAATAGTGTCCTGCTCATGGGAGCTCCGGTGGTGCATATTATCTTGATGTTGGGATGGCATCTTGGTGTTTGCAGTGCCCTGTCTTCACAATTCCAATCGGCAATAGCTTCTGCTTTGCCAAGGCCGGTTCACTTACAAGGTCTAGACGCGAGGAAAACATAATATATTTTTTGCACATCCGCAGATCACAAATCCATTCCAACCGCCAAAAGGCCTTATATACAAATTCAAAGTGGATAAAGTGCAAAAAAACTGGAAAAACAGGACATGTTCAGATATGTTTGGAATTGATGTATGATCCCATTCGAAATCGTGCTGTCTTCATGCCTAGCTCTGCTGAATCTTGAAGTCACTGAACCCCATCGGTGTTCACATGTGTTTCATGACGAGTCTGACGGATCCTTGGAAGCACTTGCCCACCACCGTTCCAGAACCTGAGCCCGTCGTTGGACCTAATGTGATCCAACTGACTTGAACAAAAATCTGTTTGCAGTGTTTGTAATATGTTTGTATATTTGTGGCTGTGTTCACCAACAAAAGACATGTAAGTACAAGGCGTCCGCGAGAAAAGATCCATCAAACCACCCCATCCTCCAACAAAACGACATTTCCCAGGCAACAATAGCTAGCAGCTAGAAACACCTTTGGCGCAGCCGTTTCCATTTACTTCCGAACCCAAGGACAGAGCTCAAATGCAGCCATTGCGCTTCGTTCAGCGCGCTTCATCTTAAACCCGGGATCACAAAAACTATGAAATTGCACAAAACACACACACAATTCAAGGGAACACACCGCACCTGAAAGAATCACGAAAATCACGTGCTCAATTGGCTTGTCATGTATCTTACCTTGTCACCCCATCATGCACAAACTACGTTCCGGCGCGAATTGCGGCCCCACTGTTTTTAACTGTTCTTTACGTGTTTTATTTGTGCCATTTTGCATGGATTTGTGTAAAACTGTGGTGGCGTCGCGATTTCCTTTGTTTCTCTTGAAATGGGAACGGTTATTTTGTCCCAGGTTACGATAGGAAATTTGTCATTCATCATTGAATGACATCGGTCGAAGTATTTGCCAAAGTTGGATTTCGAACATTTGTTTCCCAGTGCTTTTTGCGGCCTCATTTTCTAGCCTCATCGTTTGCGTTGGTTTGCCTTGGCTGCCAATTTGGCCAGACTTCCTTTCAAGTCTTGCTTGTTGTTCCAACGATAGTCAATAAACCATTCATAATTATTTCTTTTGGTCTTTTGTCTTTGGTAGACAGAGAAAAAGGAACGTAGCGCTTCATTTGACGCCAGACCTGGTCAAGGGCTTGTGTTCCACTGATTTGACTTTTTTCTCTTCAGCGTAGCATCAACGTGCATGCCCCTTGCCTCCCCACGCCCCACCCCACCCAGTTCCCCATGAAAATCACACGCAACTTCCAACTCACGTGCGCAACTTCTAACTGTCCCGCGCAACTTCTAACTGACTTGCCCAGTTTCTAACTGATGTGCAATATTGTGCAATGCATCAACAAAAACAGCGGGTCCATTAACAGCGCCAGTAGCACATAGCATTGTGTTTTGAAAAATCCGCCGACCCCGCTTTGGCACTAGCTGGGGCGGCGCCCGGGTCGCAAAGCTTTGCTTGTCCTATTGCTTGGCTGGCTATGGCCGCGGCAGTCCATTGGTGTTCACGGCATGAGCCTCCGGCCGGGACCTGGGGCGGTGCTGTTCTCGGACGGTGCCTGGGCCCAAATCTTTCTTTTCTTGGCGTTCAGCTGTCACGCTGCAGGCATGCGCCATATTGTTGATTCCAGCCTTGACTAACTATTCATATAGCCTTGGAGAATCCATTCATTGTTTAACATTTTCCCAAGAACGAAGGCTTTCCACATATCTATGGTTGGCTTGGCCCAGGGGCACTTACAAAATGTGGCTGTCGTGCTGGCAACCATATGCCGTGCCCTTCCCCCCTCATCAGCCCATTGTACTTTTCTTGCGCATATGAAACACACATTTACGAGATTTTACGAATAAAATTATTTGCGTTGAGTTACAGTGGTGTTGAGCTGTGCTCAGTCGACTCTGTTGTCTTGACTTGCGCTGGGGTGAGGTGTGAGAGTGTTGTAGGGTAATGTTCAGTTCAATCATTTAGCGTTTAGTGGTGCTGCTTGGTTGTGTGTTACGTTGTCAATGTGGCTTTGCTCTGTATTTTTAGTCTTCCACAACTTGGAAGTTTCACTTCTAGGTTGTCCATAGACAAGCTGGAAACACGTCCACCAAGAACTTGCCACAACTCTGATTGGTCATGATTTCGAGAGTCCTGATGGCCAGCTGGTGGCACAGAACGAAATCTTTCAGAACCTTAACAATCCAAATCTCTTAGATACCCAGACTATGCTGGGTAACTGGAAATATGGTTGCAATTCCCGAACTGCATGGCATGTAGGTTTCCTGATTAAAACACATTGAAACATGGGAGACGAAGGTATTGTTCACCATTTGTCTTTGCATTTTGGACACGTAAGAAACGCTGCATTTTGGACACATAAGAAAATGGTGTGTTGCCCAAAAGACAGAAAACCAAGGAATCTGCTGGTCCCATAGCATAAAGCATCTACATGATCTTGGGTGATGAAAAAAGCCTCGGGAGTCAAAAGGGAACGTAAAGGCAAAAAACACGTGGGTGAGCCAGCTTCGGCAGCGTTTGCTGTAAAGCTGAAAGGGGCCCGACAAACCATGCCCCTTCAACCCAGGCGAACAAATACTTTCTCAAAAAAGAGAATCACTGACACCGCTGGCACCGTGAAGGGAGGCCCTGGATGGGATCGATGGGACATCTGGAGGAAACATTCCAACATATTTCAACAATATAGCAGAAGACAGTGTGTTGATATGAGTTGCACGAGGTGCAAGACCGGCTCCCAGAACCTCCCAAAGACCAGGCTGACCATTCAGCTCCGCATGGTCTCAGCATGTCTCAGCAGTATCCAATGCTGGTCGTTGCCGTCAGGTTGCTATTGTCAATGCCATCCCAATCTCCAGTGACACGAGCGTATTGCTCCATGGCCTACATGAGGACGGCCCCAAGAGGTCCCAAGATGTCCCAAGTCATGCAAGTACCACTGTGAAATCATTTCCAAGTAGCGACAGTGAACAGAATGAACAGAACTTTACCGCAACTGGACTGCGAGTTTCGTCATTGCGGGAATGCTGGGAATGTTGCAGGATGTTGAATCATGGGGAATACGATCAATTGACCTTGCTGTTCATCAGGCGGGTTTCGTTGCAGAATTTGATGTTCCTGGGGCCGAGCGCAAGGGTCAGGCGACCATGGTGTCATCGCAGAGTTTTCCAAAGTTAGTGGACAGTTGTCAAAACACGTGAAAACAAGTTGTCAAATAGCGACGTTGGTTGCTGCTTCGAGTTAGCTGTTTTCGAATCTCCCCTTGCTGAGGCTTCTGTTGTTTTTGGGACGCTTGACTCCCCCTGGGTTAGCAATTGCACCAAGTTGCTCGGTGTTGAAGGCACTGATATTATCGAAGTATCTGGATGGATTAGTCCTTGGCTATCGACTCAAAGATAGGGCATCACATGTCATCACATGACACCTATTCCTTGAATCATGGGCCATGTTGGCAAACTGCCGCCAATTCAGCGGAACTCGCTTGAGGCGAATCTACGGGTGAATTAGATGATCAGACATGGCGATCATGGTGCAAACTGCCCTAAACATGTTCAAGTTTGATGCTATTTGTCTGCCAAGGCACCATGAAGCATTGTGGCTACCTGGGGAAATTGTCGGACATTCATCGCCAAAAACTTCCCAAGATTGGGAATTCTGGCTAAAACTACCTCGCCTGATCTACTGCAACTACACTAGAGCCAAGACTTGTTTACTTATCTTCGAACTCTCTTTCAATTCCAATTTCTCCGGTTTTCAAGGTAGAAACATACGATCGCCAATCGTGAAGAGTCAGTTCTGCAATCCAATTAAGTCTCTGCCAGCCGGTTGTTTTTTCCGTCAGGTTGAAAAGTACCAACGCATTCTTGCCACATCATGCTATTTCGTTTGGCTTAGAACCAATTGAGCGGTCAGGACAAACCTATGGGGCAACAACCGAACAACCCCGCTTGATTTAGACAAATCATCCCAGCAAAACTCGCTGTTTTCTCCTCACACTATCACACAAATGCCAAGCTGCGGTAAAAAACCAAAGTCAAACCCTCCTTGGCGGATTGCCAGTCATCTGGGTACCCCATGGTACTGGTCCTGGTACTTCCTGCCTACTTGGTCGAAGAATTCTTGCCAGCCACTACAAACACTACCAGTACTACCACACAAGGCGGTGGTGGAAGTTTCAAAGATAGGACACTATAGGAGAGGTGAGTTGGTGCGACGCATGGATGGCAAAGCGAATCCACTGACGGATGGAAAGGTGGTTGCAGTGTCGGGCTATCTATCTATCTGTCTGTCTGTTTTTCTATTTATCTGCCTAATTATCTACCTATCTATCTATCTATCTGTCTGTCTGTCTGTCTACCTATCTATCTATCCATCTATCTATCTATCTATCTATCTATCTATCTCTATCTATCTCTATCTATCTATCTATCTTTCTACCTATCTTTCTATCTGTCTATCTGTCCATCTACCTGTCCACCTGTCCATCTGTCTATCTATCTATCTATCTATCTACCTATCTATCCATCTATGTATGCACCTACATATCTTTCTATCCACCCATCTGTCTATCTATCTATCTATCTATCTATCTATCTATCTATCTATCTATCTATCCACCTATCTATCTATCTATCTATCCATCCATCTATCTATCTCCCTATCTATCCATCTATCCAACTATCCATCTATCTATCGGTCTACCTATCTATCTATCTATCTAATCTAACCTAACCTAATCTAATCTAATCTATCTATCCATCTATCTAACCTATCTAACCTATCTATTCTATCTATTTTATCTAGTCTATCTAATCAATCTAATCTATCTACTCTAATTATTCTAACTATTCTATCTATTCTATCTGTTCTATCTGTTCTATCTATCCTATCGATCCTATCTATCCTATCTACCCTATCTATCCGATCTACCCTATCCATCCTATCTACCCTATCTATCCTGTCTATCCTATCTATCCTATCCATCCTATCTAGCTACCTACCTATCTTTCGTTCTTTCTAGCATTCTTGCTTTCTTTCTCTCGTTCTTTCTTTCTTTCTTTTCAATCTCTCTATCCGATCTATCCGATCTATCCTTTCCATCCTACCTATCCTACCTATCCTACCTATCCTACCTATCCTACCTATCTTACCTATCTTACTATCTATCTATCTATCTATCTATGTATTTATCTCCCTATCTGAGCTATAAAAACTCTATGGGCAATCTAATCTATCTAATCTATCTAATCTGTCTAATCTATCTAACCTGTCTAATCTATCTAATCTATCTAATCTATCTAATCTATCTAATCTATCTAATCTATCTATCTATCAATCTATCTATCTAATGGATCTAATCGATCTATCTATCTATCCATCTATCTATCTATCTATGTATGTATCTATCCATCTATCCATCTATCTACCTATCTATCTATCTGTCTATCAATCTATCTATCAGTCTATCAATCAATCTATCTATCTATCTATACATTTAATCTATCTATCTATCTATCCATCCATCCATCCATCCATCTATCTATCATTCTGTACTATTCTATTCTAGTCTAGTCTAGTCGATTCGATTCTATTCTGTTCCGTTCTACTCTATCTATTCTATCTATTCTATCTATTCTATCTATTCTATCTAGTCCATTGATCCTATCCATCCTATCGATCCTATCGATCCTATCGTATCCTATCGATCCTATCGATCCTATCGACCCTACCGTATCCTATCCTACCCTATCCTACCCTATCCTATGCTATCCTATCCTATCTATCGATCTAAGCTATCTAATATTCCGAAGTAATCTATGTGATCTATGTAATCTATCCATCTATCTACCTACCTATCTACCTACCTATCCGTCTATTCATCTATCCATCTATCCATCTATCCATCTATCCATCTAACCTTCTATCCATCTATCCACCTATCCACCTATCCACCTATCTACCTATCTACCTATCTACCTATCTACCTATCTGCCTATCTACCTATCTACCTATCTACCTATCTACCTATCTATCTATCTATCTATTTATTGATCTATATCTATCTATCTATTTATTGATCTATATCTATCTATCTATTTATTGATCTATATCTATCTATCTATCTATCCATCTATCTATCTATCTATCTATCCGCTTATCTATCTATATATGTGCCTAACTATCTATCTACCTATCTACCTATCTACCTATCTACCTATTTACCTATCTACCTATTTACCTATCTACCTTTCTATCTATCTAACTATCTATCTATCCATCCATCCATCCATCCATCCGTCTATCCGTCTATCTATCTATCGATCTATCTATCTATCTATGTATCTATCTATCTATCTATCTAATGGATCCAATCGATCTATCGATCTACCGATCTACCGATCTATCTATCTATCTATCTATCTATCTAATGGATCTAATGGATCTAATCGATCTATCGATCTATCGATCTATCTGTCTATCGATCTATCGATCTATCGATCTATCGATCTATCGATCGATCGATCTATCTATCCATCCTATCTGTCTGTCTGTCTGTCTGTCTGTCTGTCTCTCTATCTATCTATCTATCCATCTATCTATCTATCTATGTATCTATCTATCTATCGATCGATCTATCTATCTATCTATCTATCTATCTATCCGCTTATCTATCTATATATGTGCCTAACTATCTACCTACCTATCTACCTATCTACCTATCTACCTATTTACCTATCTACCTATTTACCTATCTACCTATTTACCTATCTACCTTTCTATCTATCTACCTATCTATCTATCCATCTATCCATCCATCCATCCATCTATCCGTCTATCCGTCTATCCGTCTATCCGTCTATCCGTCTATCTATCTATCTATCTATCTAATGGATCTAATCGATCTATCGATCTATCGATCTATCTGTCTATCGATCTATCGATCTATCGATGGATCTATCTATCTATCCATCCTATCTGTCTGTCTGTCTATCTATCTATCTATCTATCTAATGGATCTAATCGATAAATCGATCTAACGATCTATCTATCTATCCATCCTATCCGTCTGTCTGTCTGTCTGTCTCTCTCTCTCTCTATCTATCTATCTATCTATCTAATGGATCTAATCGATCTATCGATCTATCGATCGATCGATCTATCTATCTATCGATCTATCGATCGATCTATCTATCTATCGATCTATCGATCTATCGATCGATCTATCTATCCATCCATCCTATCTGTCTGTCTGTCTCTCTATCTATCTATCCATCTATCGATCTATCGATCTATCGATCGATCGATCGATCTATCTATCTATCTATGTATCTATCTATCTATACATTTTATCTATCTATCTGTCTATCTATCCATCTATCCGTCTATCCATCTATCCGTCTATCCGTCTATCCGTCTATCCGTCTATCTATCTATCTATCTACCTATTATCTATCTATCTATCTATCTATCTATCTATCTATCTATCTATCTATCTATCTATCTATCTATCTATCCTTCTATCTATCTATCTATCTACCTATCTATCTATCTATCTAATCTAATCAAATCGAATCAAATCTAATCAAACCTATCTATCTATCTATCTGTCTATCTGTCTATCTGTCTATCTGTCGATCTATCGATCTATCGATCTATCGATTAATGGATCTATCGATCTATCGATCTATCGATTAATGGATCTAATCGATCTATCGATCTATCGATCTATCTGTCTATCGATCTATCGATCTATCGATGGATCTATCTATCTATCCATCCTATCTGTCTGTCTGTCTGTCTATCTATCTATCTATCTAATGGATCTAATCGATAAATCGATCTAACGATCTATCTATCTATCCATCCTATCCGTCTGTCTGTCTGTCTGTCTCTCTCTCTCTCTATCTATCTATCTATCTATCTATCTAATGGATCTAATCGATCTATCGATCTATCGATCGATCGATCTATCTATCTATCGATCTATCGATCTATCGATCGATCTATCTATCTATCGATCTATCGATCTATCGATCGATCTATCTATCCATCCATCCTATCTGTCTGTCTGTCTCTCTATCTATCTATCCATCTATCGATCTATCGATCTATCGATCGATCGATCGATCTATCTATCTATCTATGTATCTATCTATCTATACATTTTATCTATCTATCTGTCTATCTATCCATCTATCCGTCTATCCATCTATCCGTCTATCCGTCTATCCGTCTATCCGTCTATCTATCTATCTATCTACCTATCTACCTGTCTACCTGTCTACCTATCTACCTATCTACCTATCAACCTATCAACCTATCTACCTACCTACCTACCTACCTGTCTATCTATCTATCTATCTATCTATCTAATATCTATCTATCTATCTAATCTAACCTAATCTAATCTAATCTTATCTAATCTAATCTTATCTATCTATCTATCTATCTATCTATCTTTCTCTCTATCTATCTATCTATCTATCTATCTATCCTTCTATCTATCTATCTATCTACCTATCTATCTATCTATCTATCTAATCTAATCAAATCGAATCAAATCTAATCAAACCTATCTATCTATCTATCTGT